AAAAAGTGTGCGATTTGACGTGGAATGGCCCAAATATAAAATATAAATATAAAATATAAAAAAAAATATACAAAAAAATATAAGATACAAGTTTGAGATGATTGCTAGTTATGGATAACAACAGATAAAGTTTTTTTTGGGGAGATTTGTTTTATACTCATTTACCGCTTGCCATTTGCAGGTTGGACATGACTATTAAATCGAAAGATTTCAAATTTGTGACCTGGTTGTCTCTAGAGCTGGGACCTCCGAAGGCTACGGAACTAGTCGGTTACGTGGAACGACGCTGTAAAAATTTTAAGGTTGTTCTAAAGGCAGTGACTTTTTATCTTTGGTTTCTGAATTTTTTAAAGTATAGGTTACTTTCAGTTCCCTGTGTTTCTTGGTCTTATAATACTTCTCTTTATTCAAGATCTCCAGAAGAAATGAATTATCTTTTATCAGCGTTTCTTGTCTTTACGTATTGATTGAGATGGGTTGTCTATAATGAAGGAGTACCATCATTTTTCTCAGGTCATTATTCTTGCAGACAACACGGGGATATCCACGAGTGTGCAAAATTTTGTCAGATGAAGTGTTCGTATTAAATTTAGATTTAAACGGGGTAATCCTTCATCTTTCCTTAGTCTTTCGCAAAAAATCGTAAAGATTAAATTGTCTTTTCCATTTATAGTGGAAAGTGCGATACGAGGAACTCGAAAGGGAAAGGAAGAAAGTCGTTGAGGTTGACGTTCTCTTCAATATTTTTTAGTGGTGTTTTGTTGTTAAAGTCGTTTGACTTTCCACTTTTTAATGTAATTTTTTTTTATCGAATCGTTGCTGGTTCTTTAATGCCTCGATGACGTGCGGAACAAATGGAATTTATTTTTAAGTTTTGTTTTAGGAATTAGAAAGTTTGTGCAAAAAGTATGGCGTCCACCGGCAGAGTCCTCACAAAAAGAAAAGAAGAATGGATAGTTTTGAAGAAGAAGATAAGGAAAACGAGGCATGCAAACAGCTTTTTCTTCTCTTACACTTTCAGCATTGCTTGTTACTTTTTTTTTCTCATAGGAGGATAAAGTAACGGATTTGAATGGTAAAAGTCTTTATTCCACTGTAGGAAAAAACAATCACCGTGGAGTAAGTTACGCTCCACAACACAAAAGAGGGGTGCCCACCGCCTGTTCTTTTTTTTTTTTCTAGTAGCTACATTAGCTTAATTTTTTTCATAGTTGTGACGCAGTTTCGGAAGTTTTACACTAACGTTATATGATAGGGTCACAATATTTGCATTTTCTCCAGCTGATCATAAATTAAATGATAGGTACGATTTTCAGATCGAGTTCGTTCCTTGTGAGTGCGAAGACGAAGAGGACGAATTTTTTCAGAACTCATCCGCATTGGTAAAGTCTAAGTTTTTACTTGCTTTAAATAACTCGGTAGTTATCATTGGTATGGAAAATTCTTAGACCAGATTTTTCAAAGGCGAACTCATTGTTTCTGAATGTTTGAAAGAGTTTGTGGTGTTCTGACAAGTTGAAGAAATTCCAGATTTATCAAAATGACGATTTTAAACGTCGGTCGACTTTTCAGGCTAGCGGTGAAGACTCTTTGGATTAAGACTTACAATCGTGAAAGGAAAGTTCACAATGAGAAATTCTAAGTTTTGTTAAATAATTCTCGGCATTTATTTAAGCATATTTCTTCATTGTTTCCATCCCAACTTTTTATACAACGGTCCGTGCCAAGTGAAAATTACTCACGTTTGTTTGTTTTTTTTTCTTTGCTACTTGCTTATTCATAATTTAACACAATAGAGGACAGAAATTAAAAACTGTTTTTCAAAAGTGATGCTCAGGCATAAAATTGTGGTATACTGCAAGCCTGAGGGGAAGAAATCGATAAGTGTTTGTTATTTAACACCATCTTTTGTTTTGGCACTGACTGACAGATTTAATTTTTTTGACCGGAAGCAGACTACAGTAATGTGGCATGGTTTCATGTGTTTGAAAATTAGCAGTAGTAGAGTGTCTCTGTGCTAACTTGGAGAGTGACTCAATGTTGTAGCAGTGGTAAGAAATATACTCTTGACTGCATGAAACAGACGCGATAAAAGTTAATGGAACGGAGATTAAATGATTCACATTACATTGCATCCATACTGGTCTTTTTTGAGTAACCATAGTGTTTCTTTTCTTTCTTCAGTATTAGCTACAGAGGGTAAGGTTGTACAGAAACTTCGCAGTCGAGGTATGAAAGAAAGTAGTAAATGTAAGAAGTATGTGGTTTTTTTTTTCTTAGGCGGTGGGTGTGGAACGGTGAGAGGATTCTGCAGCGTGTGTAGGATATTCAGAGATCAAGATTTCAACGAGCGGAGAAGAAAGATGCCTTGAAGTGGACTATTTGAAAAAAATGATTAGCTTTTGTGACTTATGTTCTTCCATGTGTTAAAGTGATTTATAGGAAGCTTTATACTTCTCATTTTTCTATTTCTTAACACTTCGAGGTCTCAATTGTTCTCTCCGATTACTAATGCGACAGATCTACTTTGTACACGGTTTTTTGCACTGTAATTCGGTGCTCTACGTTATTATGAAATGTTTCAACTGCCAGTACTTCTTGGCAGGGACACTTGCTTGCACTGCCGCATTGACAGTTTATTTTGTGTCATTTTCTTCAAATTTCTTTATTTTACTAGTTTAAAACTGGAATCGTGCAAACTGATTAGGTATTTGAACACTAAGAGAGAAAGTCAAAAAATGTTGATTAATCTAGCTTACTAACGGGAAGTTTATTTGTTAACGGTGCACAGAGAACGTGAAAAACTGGCACGCATTGAATCCAAACAGACTTGAAGATTTGGACAGATTACGTACCCCCACAGACATCCGTTGGCACCAGATTCTAATGAGCAGCAAAGTTAAAACTCATTTTCAAGTGGAGCTGCTAGATTTGTTTGATAATCCACTGGCCGGCGACTATTAGTTTCAGTTTGCTTGCGGTCGCTGTAGTGTCAACTCTTTAGTTGTTATCTGCACAACTAAAATCTGATTAGTACGATCCGGTATAATGCCTTTTACTGTGTGGGTCGACAGGCTTTGTAACAGTAATTCAATGACGGATTAAGTATTCAAATATGATTTAAGAGGCCTGTCAAAGATATCTCAGGATTGGTAGCGTGTACTGCGCAGCGGTACGTCTGCCTTCCCCTTGAAACATTGGCTGCTGGACGTTGTTTGCCTGTTGCCCAGACGTGAATGCAATAGTTGTTGGATTTATTACTTGAACATTTCACCGAGTTCTTTACTCGAATTCACTTTGAGCGCAGTCATTGCACAAGTGCGATAAAAAGTAATAGTCGGATCATTTATATTGTATAGAAAGTCATGAGAGAATTTTAATAAGAATAGTCTCTAAAATTCCAATGCTACATTTTTTCTGTACACTATGAGACATTTGATCACAGCAGCTGTGCTAGGAAAAGGAGAAACACTTTGCATTTCAATCGCGTACACAAGGATTTAAATACAGTCAAACACAGCAGTTGAAAAATGTATTACTTAGATAATGGAACCTAGCAGCGGACGAATTCTTCAGCAGTTATCCCTATTTTCAACCGTCGCTGTCGCAACTTAAGACTTCTTCGCCTTGTTCTATGACAACTTCGCTAACTTTGACTCGTAATGGCGAAGCACCTTTAGAATCCTGGAATAAAGCTGTAGGACGGTAGAGTGCAGTGAAGCATAGAAAAAACTAGAACGAAGGTGTTCCAGACTGAGCCACTTTTACCTTTATCAAAACATTCGAGTCCGAGACGTTAACGTTTAAATAAAACGGTTTTGCGATTTTCTCCTCGTCAAGTGCAAATGGTGATAAATGTTCGATTATGGCATCGCTAAGACTGGTGTTCATCCCTTGCAAACTTAACTAAAAATAACCATAGTAGCACTCAAGGTAGTTAGAAAAAGTTCCTGATGTTACGGGTCCAACTATTAGCAAGTTCAGCTGTTCTGTGAAAAGTCTTGAGGAATTCACATTCTAATGTCAAGCTATCGCACACCCTTAACGAAGCAGCGCGGTTGTCTACAGCAGACGAGAATTTGAACTTCACTGGTAGTACTTCGTTGTCAGCAGTCGGTGTAGCCAACTTCACCTCTCTTTGCCATCCGGATGTGGAATAAATTTCTTTTCTTGTTTTCTCGAAATGCTCACTTACTTCTAGTCTGAAGAAAGAGCTGTGACTGTCAGAAACTCCATAACACAGCTTCTGCGACTTGAGCAGTTATTTATTTTCAAAGTTAAGTATGCATCGAGATAAAGTTCTTATTAGTAAAACGTTAAATGGAAACAGAAGAAACCCCCACAAAACTTTCAGAATTCCTAGTTTTAATGATTTTAGCCTACAAATTGGCAAATTGTTTAAAACAAACTTCAGCGAGAAACCTTCGGCAACTGCTGCTCCCTTGACAACTGATAGCAAAATATTGGCCGAACTTAGCAGCGCTTCCAAAACATTCACCTAAATAACGTAGTTACTCAAAGAAAAAAATCAGCGTTTCGGAAGTAATCCTGAAATTATGGGGTTTCCAGGTGCTGTATAACAAAAAACAGACAGCCCTCCCGAGTTAAACCAGCAATTGCTTATCATCAATGTAAAACTTACATTTTTCGACAACTCAGTAAGATGAATTCGATCACTTCTGATTCGTTCATCAACGACCAATGCTTCTTCAGCTACAGCAACATCTACAAAATAAAAATTTTCAAACAGAACGGCTAAATACTAGTTAAGGCGTACAGCGTTCTACATTTGAACTAAATAGAAATACAGTGGCTATAAGACGCCACTGAAAAAAAGAATGAGGTTTGCGGGCAATATGACTAAATTTTACAAAACCTCTACCTACCTCACAAAGAAGAAAGTTGTTAATCTTTAAACTTTTCTGAGCGCAGTCACTACAAAAATTTAAGACCAACAAATATTTGCTAAAAGACAAAAAGAGGACCTGCAGAGCCAAAAACGTCATCTTCGGGAGCTTCCAAAACAAGAAACCTTTGGTCGTCATCAGATATGTTAGTGGCTATTGACATTGTCTCATCCAGGCTTGAATTAGGGTCTTAAATGACATGAAGATTGAAACAAGAATTGAAAAATAACAATAACTAGTAAATGTCAAATGTTTACCATAATCACCAGCTTGTGGAAATTCTGGAAAATGCTCAAAATCATTTAAGAAGGGATTCTTTGTAACTGGGGCAGACGGTACTTTCTTAAGTGACGGAATAGGGCTAATATTAGCACACTCGACAGATTCTTCAGAGCTAACATGAACTGCAAAAAAAAAAAGGTGAAGAAAATAAATCTGCACATCAATCTAAATAACATATGAGCAACTGAAAATACAGTTTGAAAAATTACTACTATCAAACTTTTTTCATTAGGTTTATTAAATAGACAAATGATATCAAATATGGAAAGAAATGGTATGTAAATCGTAACGCGCTAAACCACGAGACTCAAATGGTATGGTTTTTAGAGACAACCAGGTAATAAACAAGCACAACAACTGTACTACAGACTTCTAGATAACCTAAAATATTGGTAGGAAAAATGACGTCCCTTAACATATCTCTAGTGCCTTGTCACACAAATTTACACTCACCCAAATTGGAGCTTTCCAAACAACATTCGCGCTTTCTTGAGAACAGCTTCTTGCCATTGCAGGTAAATACAAATATTACATGCATCTAACCCCTGAATTAGCCACAAAAAAATTTTAGATCATTTATTTCCTGTGAGTGTTTTTCATTTTAAAACTATCAGAACAGTATTTCCGTGTGAAGAAAAGATGAATCTTTTAGCGTTAAAAAAAGTGGAAAGAAGTGCACCGCATACAGAAGCAAAGAAAAAACTGATTTTCCCATAGTTCAATACTAACAACTATGTTTATTATCAAACTTCAACAATCTTATAGCACTTAGTTTTAAACGAATAAAACTGTCCAGTAGCAGATTTTCGCCATCAATAACCAACCAAGTCAAATAATAACGAAATCGAACGATATGGTGAAGAAG